AATCACAACGTTTGTTGGCTGACAAGAGACTAGGGCATAGCAAGTCAGAGACTTGGTATTACGGATAGAAACAGGATAGACCCGGCGGAGATTGGGGCTAGTTGGCTGACAGTGGGCCTGTTTTACCATAGACGTAGTCCATGCAGCAAAGACTTGGCCATGAGACTTACTCAGAGGCTTTAGCCTCGAATTAGCTACCCAGACGTATGAGGTGGGTAACAACGCCCCAAATAGCCCAGATGGGGTGGCAGGGGTCGAGTGAAATACTTGAACCAGGCAGACAGCAGACTGATCCTACGGGGCAAGAGGGAGACTCTGATAAGGCCTAGAGAAGGAGGAATGTGTAACCATAGAGCAGACTCTGATCAACATTCCCGGCAAAAGGATGAAGGGAGGAGAGGGGTGAGGGGGTGAGAAAGCCAGTGTGGAGTGTGGAGAGTTCCCATGAGATCCCCTTAAAAAGGAACACCATACCACATTTAAATAAACACGTTAAAAATGGTGCTAGTGAAGGGCTGGTGCGAGGATATACGATTTGCGAATAGCCCAGGGCAGAAGACGAGATACCACAATTGTTTTGGCAGAGAATTGGTCAACGGATCGGCTTCTCTTGTGTCTTTGACCAGTTGCATTGTGGTGCTAAGGCTCACGGACGATGCCGGCGAAACGTCTAGGTATATACCATGTCCACGATCCGACTCTGGAAATAATCATGCATACTATGGACTCTAAGACGTCTTTCTGCCAATATCACACCATGTTTCGAAAACGAGGTAAAACAACTTCTAAGCATATATTTCTTCATTAAGTGCTTATGCCAATTTTTTAAAATATAAATTCCTGTAATAAGATAAAATTGCAAGGAAAAAGAAATTATTCATATGCACTACAGATCGAGGAAGTTGTATCCTTCAGTTTCATGTTAGACTACAAGTTAGAAATAAGCAAAATAATTCAGCTAGGTTATATTTATATTAGAGGTTTCACCAAAAATGCACTTTAGTTATTGATAAACGATTTGATATGATGTAATTATGCGAAAATTTTATGCACTCATTATATAATTTAAGATAATATTTTTACAAGAATTCCTATACCTAATAGCACCTCTATCTCTTACCTTTCCAGCAACTATTTTTTCGTAGATCTCGATTGGCTGCTCTGAGTAGAAAGGCGGATAGCCTGCTGCCATTTCAAAAATTAAAACGCCTACTGACCACCAATCGACAGCGTGGTTGTAGCCCTAAAATAACAGATAGTTCTTGTTTAAGGTAGCGTAAATTAATGTATGTTTAGCGAACAAGTGGTTTTATGTGTCCAACCTTAAAATAACATTACCTTCAAAATCACACCGTTGAACATAAGAAATATATAAAAAATAGCGCACCTGCAAGCAATATGGCGTACTTTCTGGTATCATGAATATTTTGTAATAATTCAAGCTAAATCACTTTTAAAAATAACTATTGTTCTATTCTATAAAAAATATAAATAATTAAAAACAATTAACTTAAAGTCAAAAAGGACTTTAAAATCTTAAAACCAACCGAAATGGCAAGCCCACATAATAGGCTGATGCTGAATATAAAAAACAATAAAATTCTGTTCATAAGTAAGGCTTCGAGAATACCAGTAAAAAATCCTGTCTTCGTAATATCTTTATATAATGAATTTGAAAGAAAGTAGCCAGGCTATCAATATTCTTACTCTGTCAGAAAAAATAGCCCAAAATTCTTTCATCAGGTGCAGGATCTTTGAAGCAACATTATATGGTATATTGAGCTATTAGTTCGCAAGTAATTTCATTCTGTTATTAAACATAAAATGGCACATCTTTGTGATAAAATATTTGATAAAAGATGCATAAAAACCTGTGCAATAAATACGACATTCATAGATATAAAATAGTCATTTGAATTAGAATAAAATGAATCGAACAATTCTAGTATTTACCAATTTTTTTGCAATTCCCACATTGCAAGCTCAGACTATGAAGGCTTTAACAGCTTTTAAAGCATAATACTATTTTTAACTTAGAGCTTAGTCATCATAAGTCGTTTAAGGGGATTTAAGCACTAATTGCATAGCTTTTGTCACATTGATATGCTTAGGCCAGGCGAGGCTATTTAGGTAAGCTTAGCACTGCTCCACAAAAGATAATCTCATCATTTCAATTATGGGAAAAATTCAACTATCAATCCTTAAATCAGCGTAAGCGACCTAGAATGACTAGTTTCTTATTCGGGAATTACTGAGTATTAAAAACTACTTAAATCGAAAATAGCAATTTTACTTTTAAATTACTGTACATAATTATCCATCTATTTGTATCCTTTGAGCTGCGTGATAAAAATAGTTTAGAATGAGTTTGTGAGACTACCAGTAAACTAGATATATGAGCTGAGCTCATATAAAATATATAAAAGGAATGGAAACTGTTTTATTTTTAATAACAATTCTGAGGCTTAACAAACAAATAACTTAAATCGATCAAAAAGATTATACAATCATTGA